AGCTGGCCGGTCAGCAGAGAGGTCGGCATCTGCCCTTCCAACGGCTGGTTAAGGACGACCACTGGGCGCCTGGGAGGCTGCTCAAGACTGTTTTTGGCAAGCCTCTTGGGTCCCCTCCCGCTGTGGGAGCTGTTCTGTCCTCTCAATAAATCTTGCTTTCTCTCTCTCACACACGCACACCAAAGACTTTTTCAGGTTCCTAGTTTTATAAGACTGGGCTCTTTTCTTTCCTAAACATGCAGCTTTCAAGTAACTTGACTTTGTTTTTCTTTCTAAAAGGAGAAATCCAGCCCTAAAGTGTGCCGTGCTCTCTCCCCAACCTCAGTGCCTGGCTGGTCTGCTTCTAAGGTTGGAGGTCCCCTGAGGGAGGCATCCAGCCCCGGCATTTCAAAGCCTCGGCATGGCAGGGAAGGGAACTAAAGACTGAGGTGACCCGTGGCCCTGGGCCCATCACCTTCTTCCTCCCTCACGCACAGGATCCACAGCTCCTAGAAGTTTGAAGCCACTCGCGACAAAGCTGCCTTCTGGTGGGGTCACTCAGACCATAGTTCCAGCTGGAGGCCCAGACTCAGTGAGTTGGCAGTTGTTTCCTGTGTTTTCCATCTTGTCTAGGTACAGAGCAAATGACTCCCAGAGGCAGTAGGGAGAGCACAGCAGGGCCATGTCCTCCAAGAGTCTCCCTCTCTGAGGGACCCCCCAGGGCACTGTCTCGGAGCCTGCACTTGAGCCATGCCAGCCAAACTGGGCTGGGCTGTGGCTGCAGGAAGCTCTACTTCTAGGGCTTCTGTTTTCCCTTTTTGCCTTCCTTTATCTTAATCATCGCCCTTGCTCTTGGGCCTTATCTGCTTCCTGTTACGTGAAGGGGGAAGAAAGAGCGAGAGTCAGAGTCCATCGATGAAGTATACATTCGAAGCAAAGATTTCAGACGTTTGCTAAGAAAAACCCCAACAACATAAAAGGGGAAAAGCAAGGAAATAGCAAAAACAGAACCAGAAACGAGAGCCAACACAACCCTTACGTCAGTGAACACTAGTGGAGAAAAGCGAGGGGGAGAGACTCCGGGACTAGGTTAGAAAGCAAAGTTCTACAACTCTGTTGAGGAGAGAACCTAAAGTAAAACAACACACGAGCATCAAAAATAAAATAATGTCCAAAAACAAACCAGAAGGAGGGCAGCAGAGGTAACAACATGAAAAACGCACTGAGCGCCCAATGAGCGCGCGTCCCCGGACTCCACGACTCTCGCGAGGCGGTGCCAGGGGCCAGCGGCCTCAGCAGAAGTTCCACCTGGTCACACATCAAAGGGCAGGATCCAGCTGGACACACCGCCTCTGCCAGTCAGCCAGCAGCACGGGGCTTCGCATGTGTGGCCATTAGGCTTGGCGACGAGGCAGAAAAGCAGGGCTGCAAAGCTCTGGGAACGGCTCACATGAAGTAGGAAGAATACTGGAAGTTTCTGGTATTGTAAACTGGTTGCTTCACTTGTAATAGACTTGGAAAAAGCGAACTTTGACCTCTAACTTATATGATGTACAGAAGTTTCATATTTACTAAATTTACGTTTATTAAAAACTTAAAGGTAATCAAGAACACTATAAAATTAATAGGAGAAAATATTAGTGCTTCTTGGTTGATACTTATAAAAGAGTAAAAAAAAAATTTAAAGTGTTAGGAGAAAATAACTGGAGAGAACCCTTTCTACATGTGGCACAAGAACAAGATACCATACAGGAAAACGTTCACAGGCTTGACTCTCTAAACATGAACTTGGGTGAAATGATAAGTGAATAATGCAGAAGAGAACACTTGTGACACTGATGATAGAAAAAGGGTCTTGAAAAATACTACTATTAATTATCACATATTAACAGTTAGTTGCTACAAATTAATGAATAAAAGAAACACCCTGTGGGAAATTGGTCAAGGATAACACATACTTCATAGAAGAAGAAATCAGGTGATCCAAAATTTTAAAATATATGCACTACACAGCGTTGACAGGAGTTTGAAGAAATACATATTTTGACACCACCTCAAGTAGAGGTCTAGATTGTCAGACCATCTTTGGTAATACCTATTGAAAACTTAAATGTGCTTACCTTTTGACTTCACAGTTTTACTTCTAGGAATATGTTACAGAATAGTTATGCATAAAGATACATATGGGCTAAGATGATTATAGCGGTTTCTCTTGGAATAGTAGAAAACTGAAAGCAACCTACATTCCTATAATTAGGAGACCACTGACATAAATTAAGTCACATATGTACAAAAACACTTTGTAGTTGCTAAAAAGGAACAAAGAAAACTTGTATGTACTGATATGAAACTACTTGTATGATTCATTATTGAGTGAAATTCAGAATTTACAGAAAACTACAGAGTATGATCCCATTTTTGCTTAAGCAAATATCTACACGTGAATGAAAATCAAAGGGCACACGAAGGTTGTTGATAGCAGTTACTTCCAAGAGAAGACCCTTCCTCCTTTTAATCGCACTCCCTGTAATTCTGATGCTTTATTGTTTGCAGTAAGCCAATGTTAGCTTTGCAACTAAAATTAAGACAAAGTGAAGTGTTCAGTTTTCAGTGTAGATTGCTGCCAGGCATGGAGAGGCTTGGGGAGTGCTCAATGTTTATTCTCTGCATCGTGGGGGTGGTGCCACAGGTGTATCATAAGACAAACCTACGGACCACTCACTGACTTTTTTCCCCTTTCATTGCGCATTCCTGACTGTGAATGCAGTTTACTCTCCAACCTGATGCTGACAGGTAAAGAAGGAAAAAAGAAAGTGTTTTGAAGCCCTGTAAAGCTCTCTTTGGGGACTCTGGCGTCTTTTAAGACGAGTACCTGCTCTGTCTGAAGTCTGCCACCGCGCCTATAAAACTTCATCTGCGTGTCAAGAAACTCGCTTCTTTATCGTCCTGAGGCTGCTCTCAGGTTTTCCCGGATAACTGTGCTGACTAGTCGTCAGCCAGAAAATCTTGGAATCCACCCAGCCTGCACCCTGCTTGGAAAGTCCCCCCTCCCTGGCTGAGCCAGTGTATTGATGTGTGGCTTTTTGTAAGTTCTGACCTCTTGAACTGTGTATAACCAAGCTACCACTCCAACACAGTGGGCGGGCACATGTTCTTAGGACCTCATGTCACAGGCCGAGGTCCTCAAGTTGACCAGAATAAACCATTCTAAAATATTTTACAGTTTGGCGTCTTTTTGACAACACTATCACATTGTACACATTAACGATGTTTGCTGTATGCCAATCATATCTTAATGAAGGCATAAAAAATTAAGTCAGGAGTGCAAGTCCAATTGCTGGCTATATAGTTTCTCTCACGGTGGTGACTTTTGCTACTGGCTGACTTGCTAGCTAGATACACATACCATTTAAAACTCCTAGTTGGCAGTGTTCTGAAAATAGCCAAGTTTTCCCTGAAAATGTACTATTTCACTTCAGCAGCATACACTAACTTAGCAGGTGTCCTTTGTTAAAAGTGAAGTCGGCCAGGTGCGGTGGCTCAAGCCTGTCATCCCAGCACTTTGAGAAGCCGAGGCGAGGGGATAGCCTGAGCCCACGGGTTCGAGAACAGCCTGGGCAACTCGGCGAGACCTCATCTCTACAATAAATCAAAAATTAGCCAGGCATGGTAGCACACGCCTGTAGTTCCAGCTACTTAGAAGGCTGAGGGGAAGGATCGCCAGTAGGTCGACACTGGGGTGGCTGTGAGCATGTCACTGCATTCCAGCCTGGGCGATGGAGTGAGACTCCAACTCAGAAAAAAGAAAAGTGGAATCAACTGAGACATGAAAGAGTTATCAGCCATCACATGCATTTTTGTAAGTTTATTAAAGAAAAGAAAAGAAAGTGGGGGGACACATGCATTTTTAGCAAACACTGTTGACTCTTATTCTTGCAGGGCTTCCATTAAACTAGTTCCATTAAAATAGTTCCATTAAACTATTGACTGAAGGAAGGCTATTAAACTAGTTCCATTAAAATAGTTCCATTAAACTATTGACTGAAGGCTGCTTGGCATCACCCACACCAAGCCCAGGCATCGGAGCCACATGAAACTGGGTTTACTCCAGTTTGGGTGTGTGTAGTGACCGCACTTGGTCATAGCACACTGCTCGAGCTCAGCAAAGGTGGCTGCCTGAAGGAGGAGGCAGGGGGCCTTTGATTGCTTAAATCCCCTCATGATGATGAGGAAATGGTCTACAATGCAGAAAGCTGCACACTGAAGTGCCAGGAGGCAAATGTTTCCAAGTGTGGGACTAGCTGGGGTCAAGTTCACAGGCTGACCTTCAGCCCCTCCTGTGTCTTTTCACACTTTCTAGAGCCTGGCTCTGTCTGTCCTGCTCTGGCCATCTGACTGGCCCCAGGTTAGTCCTCTTTCCATTCATCCAGAAGGACACTTCTGTGTCCTCTGCTTGACAGAAGCCAGGCAGGTTTCAGAGGGGGAAGCCACTCGACTGCATGGCTTCGCATCCAGGTGTGAACAGGTCCTGCGTTTTCACACAGAATTCCAGGCAGCAGGCAGCAGAATCTCCCTTGCAGGGGCTCCGTCCTGAATTGAGTTGCATGGGAATAGCTGTCGTCCTAGGCTGCTTGGTTATAGATTTAAGGCAAGCAGCACTGAATCGCAGTTTTAGACTCAGGCTAAGAGATGCCTGTCTTTAAGGCAGAAAGTGATTCTCAGCCTCCCACAGCTCAGGTTTCATGTGCCTGCGGCTGGTCTGTGGGTACAGCCAGGAGTTTCGGGGAGCTCGTTCCTGATCCAGGCCCACGATCCCCAGCCAGACCTCCAGAGTGAAACCCCTGAAGCCTACAGCGGGCCCTGTTGGAGGGACGGAAGACAAGTATGTGGCCAAACCCAACAGCAGGACCGTGCAGGACCTGCCTGGGCTCTGAGCTGTGCCTCCTCCCATGGTGTTTCCCATGGGGCCCCGCATGCTTCCCATATGAGACGCTTCAGGCTGTCTGAGGATCAACGATATTTATTGTGAAACCAGGAAACCACTATGAGCTTCTTGAACATGGGGGCTGGCCACAGGTTTTGAAAGCCTCAAGCACTTCTGGGGAAAGAAAGACTTCATTAGAATTGTACATCTGTTAGGTCTGTAAAAATGTTAGGTCAGTGGGCTGGTGGGCTGAGCCGGGGCCGTGGATAAGATGCACAGAATTGCACAGAAATTAGATGAGAAAAGGCTTTTTAGAAAGTAAATTAGAGAGTGTGTATGGATCCAATTCTCAAGGGAGAGAAGGGACCCGGTGTCTGAAGAAAACATGGCGGCAGGTGCTCGAGACTCGGAGCTTTTAAAGCTCCTTTGGGGTGGGCAGGACAGGCAAGCGTTTGTCGGTGATGGGGTCTGAGGACTGATGGGGTCTGAGGACGGCTGGATGGATGGGCGGGTCAGTCACATAGATCAGGAGGGCGGGGCAGGCAGCTGAAAGACAAATTCTTAGAGCAAAGATATTACTGTCTTCTGACTCGCCCAGGGTTCCAGGAAAGGACTCTTGCTGTGCGAGAGCCCAAGGAGACCAGAGAGATTCCATTTTGGGCTCCATCCTTTCACCATCACAGTCACCATCAACATCTTGCATTGAGAGGGAAGGACGGTATAACTTGTGTGCATATTCTAGGGCTTTGTGGGACGCCAGAGACAGAGACTATTCGCCTTGGAGAGGAGATGCTTTTAGGATCCACGACGAAGCATCCATCGGGCGGTCTTCAGCCATGCGAAGGCCTGCTGTTCTCTGCCTCCAGAGAGGGCCGGACTCCACTCTGGGTAAAAAAGTGAAGTCATGAGGGAGCGGCCTGGCATCCCAGACTGCCGGTCACAAGCAGGAGCAGTCACCACCTGTGTGGGATACAGAAGCACATGGCCCTCAATATGTTTTCCAGACAGATATTAAACCTCGGTCTGCTTGCAGGAAAGCAAAAGTCTGTGCTGCTTTTGCAACTGCACAAGCACGACCCTGGGGTACACTCTGTGCTCCCCCGCTGTCTAGCTGCAACCCTGGCCACGTTCCGGCATCTCCCCGTGCCTTAATCCCCCCATCTGTAAAACGAGATGCACATGAGCCTCCACCTCCCAGCTCATTAGTTAAGGGCTAAGAGGTAAGTGGTTCAGCAGGCTTAGAACAGTGCATGGCACTTAGAACAGTGCATGGCACACAGTCATCCTGTCTATTCTTTTGTGCCCCTTTTGCTCAAAGGCTGGGGAAACAGCCCAGAAGTCTCAAGTAAAACTTGGAACGAGCCACCGAGGAACAGGGCACTTCTCTGATGTGTAGCGCTCTCTCTCTCTCTCTCTCTCTCTCTCTCTCTCTCTCTGAGTTGGAGTCTCACTCTGTCACCCAGGCTGGAGTGCAGTGGCAGCCA